TCCTACACGTATCTAGGCCCGTACAAAACGATTCTTACTGTCTACAACATCTTGGACCACAAGCTACACTCCTTGCCTGGCGAGGCGACGAGAAGAGCTTCTCTCCTCATTCATTACGATAGAGAGGGGTTGTTTTTTTTGTAAAAATCACAACGAGATTCAGTGACTTTCCTATGTAAAGTTACAATGTAACTTTCTCTCCATCTTGGCCCTCCAAATCAGATCCACGGGATATCCTTACTCTCAGCTTGGGGGCCCATCTGTCACCCACTCTTTGACGTTCATCAAGACTGAATTTTCTTCCCTTTGGCTCTGGTGCCAAGCCGAGGACCAGTGTTGGAGGGAGACAGCCTTTCGGCAACCCGCATTCACCCTCTGCCGCCCGCGAGAACGAGTCGAGTGTTCCCTTTCGCTTGGGCGAAGGGATAACCAGCACGCAAGGGCAAAAATGAGAACAATGTTTGAATGGCAGGCGATATACGAGTTGCGCCCCAACAACAGATAGCGTGTGTCTTTTCGCTGCTGTAACCCTCTTGACATTGAATACGTCTATCACAGTTGCAAGTGAACTCCAAGGTTTTCATCAAGTCAAAAACCAGGGGAGGTCAGAGGAAGGCGAAATGTCTGGTGGATGCCAGAAGACGAAAGCATCACCTGGCGAAAAGTGAAGGGAGAGTCAACCAGGCTGGTCCCCTCCTCCCCTGGCACTCAAAAGGGGAAGGGTACCAGCCGCATACAGAGGACGACAACAACTGGGGAGGGCAGTACTTGCCTCCGGACCAAGTTGCCCTAGCCCGGTGAGAATATGCCATGAATCTACAGTAGCTACAAGGGCATTTTAGCCCAATAAAGGCCTACATGCATGTATAAATAGAGCCCCAAGAGGGCATTGTAAAGGGGGAGAGGAAAATGATGAATAATGAAACTGATACTCTAGTGATTCACTTCGTCGTTTCTCTTCGCTCCTACTTCATCGTGTTCATCTTGTGGGTTTTTGTCTGCTAGGCAACAACCTAGTGTTGAAAGGCTAATGCCTAGAACAACATTGGGCAACCTCAAGTATTCATGTCCAAATACTTGAACAATTAACAGCTTTGACAAACTTTCTAAGACTTTCTAGAGCAGTACTATCTCGAATATGGATGTAGTCATCCATAGCATCAGCTGCTACTCCATAAGCTAACATCCGGAATGCATCCACCATCTTCTGCAAACAAGATAGTCCTAGGGTTCTGGCTGCATTCCTCTTCTGCATGAAATAGTCGACATACTCCTCAACGGCATTCATTATGTGTACAAACACGTGACACCGCATTCGAAACCTGTGCTGTCCCATAAAAAAAATATTCAGACCTCTATGCATGCAGTAAACATAAGTCAATAAAATATGAGAAAAATTAACCTACGCCTGAAATAGATCGGTTCATACGTAGGATTATCTGAGAAATAATCTTCATAACAGTATGCAGTGTCCCGACTGCCTATCACGATTCAAAACGCGATGTCCCTCTATAGAACCACGATGGTATGCATTGACAATATCTGATACTATATATGCGCTGCTGCAATATGTAACTCATCGTCATCATCCGAAGATGACGAGGATGATGAATCCATCACATCATTAAGTACATATTCAAACTCCATTATAGACCTTTGATTAGGAGGGTTCTAGGAATTTGCTCGAACACCTAAACCAGAATTAAAAAAAAAAGATGTATGTCGATCTACTGATCTGATAACGTGACCTAAAGAAATATCATCTCAAGCAAAGCAATATACGCGATCAGGAAAGTCAATTGCAGAATACACCTACAGGGTAGCAGCAGCCCGTCGCCACCAAGATCAGCGTCTTGTGCTGGTGACGCACGTGAAGGCGATGTTGCTGCTAAGAGCCCAGCACTCACGGAGAGTCTTCTATTCATGCGAAGGAGGACGTCGCTGCGGACGAGTCCAAAGGAATAGGTCCGTGGAAATTTTCACGCGCCCAGGAATAGGTCCGTGGTAGTTGGCGACGTGGCAATTTTTTTAATATAGAAGATGAGAAATAGCAAGGTTGTTGTAAGAACTCTTGTCTTTTAAGGAGCTCTACATGTTACAAAATAGCTAAATTATGAAATTTGGCTACTAATTTTAGCAAGCTGTTGGAGTTGCTCTTAGTGACGAGGGTGTGAGAAGCTCAGGAGCAGCGTTTTTTAGATGCACTACCGTTGCATGTGCAGATATGCTGCCAGTGAGACCCATTTCTTGGAGCCACAGGTTGAATACTACGTAGTCTTTTGTCATGGAGCCATATATCTTCTTGTCATTCTTTTACCTCTGAATGACCTTCTCTTCTATATGACCACGTTGTGTTCCCTGTCAGAAGAAAGAAAGGCAGTCTTCTCCATTTACATTTACAAGCTGATGGATGGCTATTGCCTATGGCTATGAATTCACTTCTATCTTAAAGGTCAGAACTACTAACTGCCAGTTCGTCTTGTAGATGTATCACTGATTAGGCTGCTAACTACATGCTTATATCATCGCGCTTTGAGCTTTTCATAGGCATTGCTTGAACTCATAGTCATGGGGTTGTCTCAAATGGTGTAAAGCCACGAATCTGATGAACCAAAGTGCTCGATAGGCTTTGCTCCCACATCATTTGAGTACTAGAAGCCGCACTCTACTTTGCCTATTACACAGGACATGAGTCAGAACTCAGAAACCATTGGAGAACTAGGAGGGCCAACTCTGCTTTTATCTATGCACTTGCACATTCCACAACACAGAAACTGTTGTGTTACATCTTTTTAATCTGTCCTGCTTCTTTTCATGGGAATGGTGTGAAACTCTGAATATAAATAGCACGTGTGATCTGCTAAACAATTGGCGTACCTGCCAAGGTGGAAATGGAATAGTGCCATAAATCTGCAAGCTAGGCATGTTTTGAAGTGAGAAACAGTATGGAACAGATTAGACACCACAAGAGTTCCACTATATTTGGTTAAAAGGGAAGGTCTGATGTACCTAAAAAAACATTTGACAATGTCATTTAGATGTGTAGGCAGATCTCTCTAGCCACAGTTCTGCTTCACAAAATGCTAATCATTCTTCGACATTCCTTGGTCAACTATAAGGCATAAATAACGTGTGGTAGGTTTAGCTTTCTGCCTACCAATTTGTGCATTAGTAGTTTTAGGCTGATATTTATAAGTTGACGCATGGACCAAACCGTCTAAAAGCTTAAATGTGAATCATGGTTATGCCTAGTGAAAGCTGGGTTACCCTCCAGTGGGTGTGCATGTGGGGCACAATAAGATGGGACCATACCCTGGAATATATCTGATGGCAACAGGATATCGATGATGTTCCCCTGATATTGGCTTACACTGACAGTTAAGTCAGATGAGTGCAACGTATGATTGAGCAGAATTTTGCCTTCAATCTCTGGTGGCCCTGTCTTCAGGGTTCTCTTTTGCAAAATTCCCGAACTTTTAGCATCCCAATTCCGTGTTACGATATTGTTTAGATAGTCTAATTATCTTCCCTCTAAAAACTAATTAAGGTCTATATATTTTTTGCTTTCTAGCTTGTTGGGTGCATGAAAAATATCACATGGGTGTAAATTATTTAAAAAATTCTATGATAGACTATATCCAGAGAAATATAGGATAGCTAACACCAAGGACCAAATTCTGCATTGGCCTAGAGAGGGGAATGCTATCAGGTTGCCTATGAACTTTTAAGAATACAGTTATGATGTTTGGTTCAGATTGTTAGGAAAAGTTAGTCTAGGCGCTATACAAGAAAACTTTTAAGGTACAACCGTACAAGAGGGGAAACATTGTTCACTCGCTCATTCTTTCTGGAGTTCTCTTTTGCTATGTTTCTAAACCAATGGTCACTTCTATGGTATGGTTTTGATCTTTGGTTCAGCTAAAAATATGTTGTATAATTACTGGTTGGATTGGTTATTTGAGGTTTAAGGAACTACAGCAGAAAAGAGAGTTCACGCATGCTATATACTACTAGGAAAATATGTTGCTCTAAACCAAATAGGCATGAAAACCGTTTCCAAAAGTATTAATGATGTAGAATATGCTACCATCAACCATCCCACAGGATTTCAGCTCAAACGATGACTTTAGAACAAACCGTAACCGAAAAAGACGAATTTGAATGTTTGATATTTTCTTCTTCTGTTTGTTTCAAAAAAAAATTTGCTTCTTCTGATCCCCTAAAACGTTTTTTCCCTCTTCCTCTACAAGTCATTGCTTGAGTTGTATAATATATGATGGAATGCATGATGGCAGTATACTGCGCGTTGATGGTTTTTGGTTCCAATTTTTCATGACTATCATGTGCCCTTTCAAGGCTTGAGATAGTTCCTGAAATTCTAGGTTGTCCAAGTGCCGCTTATACGAAGCTGAAGTGCTTGGATACGAGCCAAGAAGGGGAAACGGATTCAGAAACTCTGTTGCCTAGGCGGCGGCTACGCCACTTCAGATGTGCTAGTCAGGCACCATTTCAGCCGGTTTATGAACTGGCCGTCTGGCGCTCCCGCTGAGTGCGGCAGCAAAGGGCAAACCTGAGATGAAATGCCACAATCTCCTGCGCTGTGCTCGCCGGAGCCTACCACAGCTGTCACACCCGTCATTTTCGTGACCGTCGCTGTCCCCTGGCGCGGCGGCGCACACATGCTCCGCAGACACCCAGCCACTCATCGTGCACAAGCACAAAGCGGGGGGAAAGCCGTCCGTCGTGCGCCGCGCAATCATGGCATCCCGGCCGGAAGACATCTGCGGCCTTCATTAGGCCGTTCCACAACCCACGGCAGACAGGCCAGTCCGCAGCCACTCTAACCCTGCACCTCCAGACGGCAGACTTTCTCCATTCTCTAGAAGGTGCAGCTCTCTCCGTTCCTCGCATAATAGTCTCGATCGATCGAGCTAGCGGATTGATCTAGCTGGTCATCGTCATCCCCCGGTGGTTACTGGGGCCTTTCCGTCAAGGACGGGATGGGGGTCCGCATGGCCATTCTCCTCCTATTCCTCATCGAAGCCGCGTTGACGTCGGCGGACAGGCGTGCCGTGGACCTGCAGCGGGAGAAAGCCACTCTGCTGGCTCTGAAGCAGGGGCTCACGCTGCCGTCGGCGGCGGCCTTGGCGGACTGGAACGAGTCCAACAGTAACGTCTGCGGCTTCACCGGCGTCACCTGTGACTGGCGGCGGGAGCACGTTGTTGGGCTCTCTCTCGCCAAGATGGGCATCCGTGGCGCTATTCCACCGGTCATTGGCGAGCTCTCGCACCTCCGGATCCTCGACTTGTCCAAAAACAACATCTCTGGCCAGGTACCGACGTCCGTCGGCAACCTCACGCGACTGGAGAGCCTCTTCATGAACAACAACGGCATCTCCGGCAGCATCCCTTCAATCTTCAGCGACCTCTTACCACTCCGGACGAGGCTCCGGCAACTCGACTTCTCCAACAATCACATCTCCGGTGCCCTTCCGCTGGACCTCGGCAGATTTGGGCACCTCCAAAGCCTTAACGTCTCAGGCAACAACATCTCCGGCACCGTCCCTCCGTCCATCGGCAACCTGACTCTCCTAGAGCACTTCTACATGCATGACAACATCATCTCTGGAGAAATACCTCTGGCCATCTGCAACCTAACAAGCCTCAAGGATCTGGAAATGTCCGTCAACCATCTGACGGGGCAGATTCTAGCCGAGCTCTCCAACCTCGTACGGCTCCGGACACTCGGCGTCTCCTACAATCGCATCTCCGGTGCCATTCCGCCGTCCCTCGGCAGCCTTGTGCAGCTCCAAAGCCTCGACGTCTCCGGCAATTACATCTCCGGCACCGTCCCTCCGTCCATCGGCAACCTGACTCGCCTTGAGTACCTCAACATGCAAAACAACTTCATCTCTGGAGAGATCCCTCTGGCCATCTGCAACCTAACAAGCCTTCGGGTTCTCGAAGCGTCCGTCAACAACCTCACGGGGCAGATTCCAGCTGAGCTCTCCAACCTCCGGAACATTGGAGCCATTGACCTCGGCAGTAACCAACTCCATGGAGGAATACCACCTTCCCTTTCCGAGCTGACGGACATGTTCTATCTCGGACTCCGGCAAAACAACCTGTCCGGGAACATCCCGCCAGCTATCTTTCTCAACTGCACAGGGTTGGGCCTCGTCGACGTCGGCGATAATAGTCTTTCTGGCGAGATCCCCCGCGCCATCTCGAGCACCACCAAGTGCCAGTTCGTCGTCATCAACCTCGACTCCAACAAGCTCGAAGGGACGCTTCCACGGTGGATCGCCAACTGCACCAATCTGATGACGCTAGATGTGGAGGACAACTTGCTGAACGACGAGCTGCCTACGAGTATCATCTCGGGCAAGAAGAAGTTAATGTACCTGCTTTTGTCTAACAACCGTTTCCGGAGCCACGACGACAACAACCTGGAACCATTCTTCGCAGCACTGTCTAACTGCACGAGCTTACGGGATGCAGGGGGGATGGGGGAACATGTGTCGAGCTGGCCCATGTCCGAGCCCTTTTTGCCGAGCTGGCTCATATCGGAGCTCGCATCCCTTGGCCTGCTGCGTATCGTGCTGTCCAACAACGCCCTGAAGGGCGAGATCCCGCCGTCCATTGGCAACTTCACGAACCTCGGTGAGCTCGACCTTTCAGGCAACATGCTCTCAGGGAGCATCCCGAGCAGCATCGAGAGCCTTGCCGAGCTCCGTGTTCTCTCGCTGCAGAGGAACCGACTGTCGGGGCAGATACCAGTAGCGAGCCTTGGTCGCTGCACCAAACTGATTCGCCTTGACCTCTCGAGCAACCGCTTCAACGGCACCTTATATTAAATTAAACGCTGCACTAGCTTGATGCGACTATACTTGGCCATACAGCCCGAGGCACGACGGCACGGCACGAAGTCCGTTTTTTTAGCCCGACACGAGCACGGCACGGCCTGGTGACATGCGGGCCCGGGCTGGCCCGGCCCGAGGCAGCAGGCCGTGCCTGGGCCGCTGCTCAGGCCCGTGGGCTGGCACGGCACGGCCCGGCCTGAGTCAGCCGGCCCGGCAATGGCCCGATGCAAGCCATGGCCTGCTAAAAAGGCCCATCGCCCTAACCCTAAATCCCCCCTCCCAACGCGCAGGCGCAGCCCCGTCCCCGTACCCGCGCCGCACTCATAGTCACGGACTCGTTTCCCACCTGCTTGCCACCTCGCCGCGGCCGCGCCCTGGAAGGCTGGAAGCACAGCCACCCATGGGGGGCTCCTCACCGTCGCGCGGGCGCACCTGGAAGCGCCGCCACCTGCGGGGGAATCGGCCTCGACCGCAGTGGCTTCCTCGGGAGCAAGCGCGCCGACCTAGGGGACGCCGACCCCGAGCTCCGCCCTGCTCCCTTCTCCGCTCACCCCGACGGATCCGGCGTCAAGCGCCCTGGCTGCCTCCCCTCCGCCCGCGCAGCCCCCTCCCCACCAGGGCGAGCGCGCTGGCGGCGGCCGCCGCTTCCCGTGCGCCTCTTCCACCTTCCCCATGCGCGGCAGCGTCTCCCTCGCGCGCCGACATCCGCGGCCAGATTCGAACGGCGATGGGCGGATTCAAGCACGCCAGCAACCGCCGCCTCCTTACCTCCCCGCGCGGCCCCACATCCAGCCTCCAGGGTGAGCGCGCCGGCGGCGGCCGCCGCTCCCCGTGGCTGCCCTTGCCTCCTGCTCTCCCCTTCCCTCTCTCTATGGGCCTCGGGCCAGCCTGGCACGCTTGGCAGGCCGTGCCTTCTCGGGCCGGCCCGGCCCGAAAAACGGCCTAGCAGGCCGTGCCTGGGCCCTTCGTCAGGCACGACACCCGGCTGGGCACGGCCCGGGAGGCCCGCGTGCCGGGCCGAGCCGGGCCGGCCCGATGGCCAAGTATAGATGCGATTCTATCAACACTATATATATGGTATAGACTCCTTTTCAGAAAGACAAGTTAAGAGCGTGTTTTATACTACTCCGCTTTATTAATGGAGCAATTTATTTTGCCTTCGACTCCACAAGCAGCTTTAGAGCTGAATCTGTTTTGATAAAACATTTGATAGAATAGCTTCTCGTGGTGGATAAAATAACAAAATATCTATAATACCCTTTTTTTTCTTTTTCATTGTATCTTCCTTTATTTATTTTCCCTCTCTCTGTTTCTCCCTTATCCTCTCTTCATTGGGTCATGCACCCACAATCACTTATAATTTGTCCACATCTCAAAAATATCATCTCACAAATATAATTACTTTTAATTGCATGGACTATACACCAAAATCCATTTAGGGGCCTAGATGATCTTTCAAAAAGTATCAATATTTATGATATCAAATAAGTATCATTAGATTTATCATGATATATATTTTCATAGTATACTTATTTAACGTCGTAAACATTAATATTTTATTTATATATTTGGTTAAACTTTAGGCACTTTATCCAAGAATGCATTTAGAACTGCATTCTTTTTGGGACGGAGGTAGTACAAGCAACCAATTATATTCGTAGTAAAGTTAGATCCATATAACATATATAGATGGAGGCCATTAGCAATCATTGATTGCTATAAAGCTGCAACCATAACAGCCACGTCATCTGAATTCTAGGCACTTGGATCACCTCTATGTAACGCCATCTATCCGTCCAAACCCTCCAGTTGTTTTAAGCCCTTAGATCACCTCTATTTTTTTTAAGACATCACCGGAGGGGTGAGCGCCCCACCTGAATGATTTTCCATTGATTCCGGTAAATCGGTAGATGGAGGGTGCACATGGCACCTTACAATGTTTGGGGACAGGCCCCAGGAATTACATATCTCAGGGAGAAGAAGAGACAAACTTATCACACCAGTAGTCAACTACCCATTTATCCTGAGAACGAAGACGGCAACTCCATTGGCGGCAGGCAGCTTTGCAAGTGGCCAAGAGTCTGGAGAGGCTTGGTTGTTGCTGCCTGAAAACCACATCATGTTTGTGGTTCCAGAGTTGCCAACAACACAGCAGGATCATGGTGGAGAAGATCACTTGTGGGATGTGATCTGGTCGGCGCATCTCCCATAGGCGGTGAACTTGGGGCAGAGAGGCTGAGTCCCAACCTAAATGTGTCCAGAAAGAGTTGGCAACTGGGCAGTGGAAGATGAGATGATCACAGTTTTCAGCGGACTGCCCACACAGCTCACAAGTGTCAGAATCCAGAATGTTTTTCTTAGCGAGGTTTATAGATGGCCAACGGGCCGGCCCGGCATGGCACGGCACAGGCCCGTCAAAAGCACGGCACGGCGCTAACGGCCCAGGCACGGCCTACTGGGCTGTTTTTCGTGCCGGGCCGGCCTGGTAAGCATGGCTTGTTAGGGAGGCTGGGCCAGCCCAAGGCCCGCTTCAGCAGGTGATGACGGCGCGTCGGTGGCATCAGAGAGAGGAAAGGGAAGAACAGGAGGGGCAGCATGGGAGCACGGTGGCGGCGGTCAACGCCGACGCGCTCGCCCTGGCCTTGAGGTAGATCCACAGCGTCAACCGTCGGAGCAGGCAACGGGACGCCAGATCTAGTCGCCCAAAGCCGGCTGCCGCGCTCGAGGCCGACGGCGGTGCATGGAGGAGGCCGCACTGCCACAGAGACGGGAGAGAGGCGGGGAAAGTGAAGCAGGCAGGCAGCTGCTTGAGCCGGATTCGGCGGCCTCGCAGGCCACGGCAGCGCACCCGAGGCGTGGACTCCGTGGAGCCTGGGGCCGGCGCACTCGCTCCTGAGGCGCGGCCGCGAGGAGGGAAGGAGCCGGCGGCGCCACCTGCCGGCGAGCGGAGGACGAGGGAGCAAAGTCATGGGGGAGGGTTCGTGGAGGAGGGTGGAGGCAGCCGCCAGCCAGAGAGGAGTGAGTCTGGCGCTGCCGCGGGGGGGATCGCACACAGCGGCGGGCGCGCGGGGGGGGAGGGGAAGGGAATTAGGGTTGGGAATCGGGAGGGGCGCGGGACTGGGGCGAAGGGGAGCGGGAGTGGGGCGGGGAGGTGTGATCATGAAGGGGGAGCGGGCGCGGGCCGCAGGAGGGGGGCGCGGAGGCGGCAGCCAGCCGCTTCAGCGGGCCACCTGCTCAGAGCAGCCATGTCGTGCCGACCCACGTGCACTCGGGTAAGGCCTGTGCACGGCCTGCTCCCTCCGTCTTGGGCCAGCCCAGGCCCGCTAGCCACCGGGCCGGGCCATGCTTGGGCCGGGCCCATGGGCTCGGGCTGCTTGGCCAACTATAGCGAGGTTCGTCCTGCATTGGATCCTTTCTTGAAGTAGAAGCCAGCCAAAGAATTTGACTCTGGGGGGAGCGTAATTCTTCCACACGAACTCATAGGATCGACACCGCTTCACCGATTGTGTGGAGGCCCTATAGAGCTGCCCAAGATCCAAAGCGATTTCAAAGCAGCAAAGAAAGAAGTCGCTATGTTCATCCTCATTGTTGACGGAGGGAGATGGAGGCAATGAGGTCAGAGGTCTTTGTTCGAACCCAGCTTGAGCGAGACCAAGTGAGCCGAGGCTTCCATGTTGGTGCAATGGTGAGTAGGCATGGGAAGCGTTCGGCCAAGGGGCGCCCTCATCCAAGCGTCCCACCAGAGGGAGAGGTGGAGCAACCATCACCCATCAGAACTTTGGTGATGCATCTGTATGCTCAAGAAGATCATGGAGGGCTCCCGGTGATTGCCGGCCACATCTCCTTCCAAGGACGCAAGATCGACGTCTCAAGCGTGCCCAAACCGCCCAAGTCAAGAGTCTGGATGGTGTAGACGGTGGAAGCGGCTTGATGAGGAGGCATGCGTTTTGGGTTGCCAGTTTGTAGATTCCGAGCCCCCATCTTCTTTAGGCTTCATGCATTTTCCCATCCGACGGCACACTAGGCACCGGATGTCTTGTCGGTCTTTGCATGACTTAAGCGATGATGCTAGGCGGGAGAACAAGTGCCTGCATGGGTAAGTAGTGAGCCCGTCCAGGACTGAGTTGATCAACACAAGGCGGCCTTAGATGGTTCAACGATGTGGCTTGCCAAAGCAGTAAAGACGCCGATCCGCCTTTGATATATGAGTGGAGCAAAGGCGGACAAGTTGAGCTTGACATTGGATAGGGGCAGCCAAGTATGTCTGCGGGAAGGCACCCAGTTGGCATTGTAAGAGGCGCACGATTCGCTGCAGACGCTCTGCAGGTACATGCATAGGCACCAGGTGTTATGAACTGGCTAACCTAACTAGGACTGGAATCTGAATTTGGACTGGAAACAGCAAGAACGGGACTACGATGAGATTTAACACGGCCGGATTCCGTGAGATTTCGGATTCTGCTTGGGAGATGTTTACTGAGTTTCCATCTTGTTGAAGAAGACAACGCACGGCTCCCAACTTATATAACGCTAGTTCGGCACACCAACTCGTGGCTCGCTAACGCCATCTCAACTACACCGACGATCCACACCGGGAAGGCCCACACGGTACATCGGCCCAACTCAGGACGGCCCAACCCCAAGTCCATAACACTCCCCCTTCTTATACACAACTTGTCCTCAAGTGAGAATTCAGGTACCGCTTCGACAACACTCCCACATCTTCCCAGTTGCCATTGCCTCGACAATCCTTGCCATCGGACAAGCTTCGGTGCACAACCGATGATCCCCGATAATGGTGCGGTCTTGAAGACTCTTCTGTGGAACCAGAGCTTGCATGGGATCGGTGCATACCGTGGATAAGTCCGAACTCACCAATGTAGTAGGAGGCGATGCTTCTTCATTTGAGATACATGTACGACGGGATGGATTACGCGTCTCATTGGGAGATCCAATTTGTAAGCTACCTTTCCAATGCGTTTCAAAGATTTTGA